TCCTATATGTCAGGAGGGATACCTGACTGGTGCCCAACTCTAGTATTCAAATTAACAACAATATAATCCTTAAATAACGGGTACGTCACATAATGATACGTTAGTGCCTTGATTGGCTCTGTTGTTCATAGAGGGTCATGTGCCCCATCACCTGACAATCAGTGGGCTCCGAGTCAAACTTTTTGCTAACAGGGTGCTGAGTCATACTTACAATAAGAGTCTTGTAGGAGGAGGACAACTGGACAGGAAGGCCTCCACCTCTGTTTAACCCTCTGAGGTCTGGGGTCGAAATGGCTGTTTTTGACTAACTTTGAATTTACCTTTATATTTTCACTTTAAAAACTATTTACCTTGCCATGTTTGGTATCATTATTTTCAGCACAACCTCAGCTTTATGATTTTAGAGTGTTTGTTTCATTTTGACACGGTTCATTATCACAGTGGACCAAAATATCACAAAAAAAAAAATACGAGGACTTCCGGTCGTGAGAGGACGCAAGCGAGAGTTTATCTTGTATTTCCTTCCTATTTCATCAACCCTTACTTTTCACTTTCGACTTAAGTATCAACATTGGGTTGTATTAAGACTTTATCTCCCAAAATGAGCAGCTCTAAGAAATCTAAATCAACCACACGGGCTCAAACTCCGGCTACACGTGCTGCAGGGAAGCTGGCTTCGTTTTCAGCTAGCACCCCTTCGACTCAAGCTACACCTGGTGAGCCCGCCACTGTCGCTGAAATTACGATGGATCACCTGTCGGCGGAATTTGCAAAACAGAGGACATMACTCAGGGAAGACGTGTCCCTCCTTATTAAGGAAGCAATCAAACCAATACAAAGCTCACTGGACTCACTTCAGTCTACTGTGAACTCTTTTCAGAACCACCTCTCCTCTGTGGAATCAGTCACCGGTGATAACTATGAACGGCTGATGGCAGCAGATTCCAGCATAAAAGTGCTTCAAATCCAAAACCAGTCGCTTTTAGACCGGGTCAACTATTTCGAGAACCGAACAAGGACGAACAACCTCCGTATCCTGAATATCCCTGAAGGTAGTGAGCAYGGTAAAGATCCACTTAAGTTCATCTCGGAGCTGCTGATGAATGCGTTTGGCCCAGAGGTTTTTCCTACGCCACCGGACTTGGAGAGAGCACACCGGACCCCAACTCTCAGATCCAGCCAAAAGTCTTCACCACGTACGTTCCTGGTTTGTTTCACTAAGTTCCAGCAGAAGGAGGCTGCATTGCGCTGGGCCAGGAGCCACGACATCAAGTACCAAGGTGCCACTCTGAGGATTTACCAAGACATCAGCGTGGTGCTCGCAAAAAGAGCCTCATTCAACAGCGTGAAGCAAGGTCTGTGCCAGAAGAAGTCAGGTTCCACATGCTGTAACCAGCCCGGCTATGCGTGACACACGGAGATGCGCTGTTTACCTTCGACTCACCGGAGGAGGCACAAAAGTTCTTCGAGCAGCGCTTCAGGTAAAAACAGAAGTTGTATTTCAGGCTAGCGGTGGGTACCCACAGCTGAGAAGCGCAAGCTAACCGCCTGAAACCTTATCTCAACTAGCGACTCTAAAAATGAAGGTACTGTTATTTTYCGGCGTTTCTTCTTAGTTGGTTTACAAAATATTGYACAATATTACCCGTTTCAATTTTACAAATGACGCCTCTTCATTATTACTGGGTTATCTACAGCATCTAAATGACTGAAGGAGTTAWTACCCTATACATTACTGGGAGCCTTTCAAGGCAGAGAGAGACAAATAATCTTCCAGAAGTTTTCATGGACAATATTTAGCCTGCGGCTTACCTCAGCAAGAGGAATAAGTATAGGCATTGTTCTGTTTATGTTCATGTTGAGGGTTTTTGGGTTATGGGAAGGGACACCATCAGATTCTGTTTTCACTTCTCAGGAAAATAGTAAAGTTATGTGTTACATTATATACATTCTGCTACTTTGTGTTGTTAAAGCGAAGAGAAATGGGCTGAGCTATGAGAACCCCCCCTTTTGTTTTTCCTTTTGTTTTTTTTCTTTTTTTATTTCTTTTTCATTTATTTAGTTATTTATTTTTTCCTTATCTCTGTCTCTCAGACATAAATGGAAAATATAAATATAGGAGTTACTGATGTGAGATTTGTTAGCTGGAACGTCAGAGGCTTAAATGGACCAGTAAAAAGAGCTCGAATTTTTAACCACATTAAGCATTTAAAGTGTGAAATTGCATTTCTCCAAGAAACTCACCTACTTGTTAAAGATCAAGTCAGACTTAAAAAAGGCTGGGTGGGCAACATGTTTCATTCTAATTTTAATTCCAGAACACGTGGTACTGCCATTTTAATTCATAAAAAAATCCAGTTCAACCCCAAAACAATAACCTCTGACCCACTAGGTCGATTTGTAATGGTTTCTGGTCTTCTAAATTACAGAACTGTCATTTTGACTAATATTTACGCCCCAAATTGGGATGACAAAAAATTCATTGAAAAGATTATTTCACATATCCCAGATTTGGACTCACAACAATTAATTTTTGGAGGAGACCTAAATTGTGTAATTAACCCTACAATGGATCGTTCCAATCCTAAATCCACAAATATTTCAAAAATGGCCAGATTACTGTTAGATTTTATGGGCCGTACAGGGGGTGTTGACCCCTGACGTTGTTTATTTCCTAAGACCAAGGCCTTTTCTTTCTTTTCCCCAGTCCACCATTCGTATAGCAGAATAGATTACTTCTTTATTGAGAGGTCTCTTCTTCCTTTTGTATCGAAAGTAGAGTACTCAACTATAACAGAGTCAGATCATGCTTCTGTACTATTGGATATCACATTCCCCCTTTACAAAAATGAACGCTCCCCTTGGAAATTGGATCGAAGTTTATTATCCGATAAATCATTTTGTGAGATGATTTCCCAAAAATTAGACGGCTTTATAAGATTCAACAAAAAGGGTATTTCCCCTTCCCTCCTTTGGGAAACACTAAAAGTAGTGATCAGGGGTGAGATTATATCTTTTTCTACTAGAAAAAGAAAGATGAATAAAATTAAACAAGAGGAGCTTTTAAAGTCCATAAAAGTAATAGATAATTTGATAGATAATTTGTATTCTGTTTYTCCCTCCC